TGGGACATGATGTTACCTAATAGCCTCCTCAACGTGTAACCAACCCATCCATAGCTATTTCTTCAGTATATTTAACGGTTGGGGAATAGGTTTTTGATTGGTTGGTTGTACCGCAAGAATTCATTGTTGCTCATCCCTTCTGGCCGGCTATCTGATCTTCAGTAAGGAGTGAGTACAGCTGTGGATAAAAGTTTGCAGCTCTGAATATGCATCAAGTCTCCGGTTTATAAAAGATACACAATAACTGACTTGACATTAGTGTTAAACACAGTTCGTAAATTGTTCCCTGCGTTGAGTGAGGCAGATTTTCGCTTTGATTTCAGAGTGATGAAGGTCTGTATTACCTTTCCGAAAAATACTTTTAGATGAAAATTCAATATCTATACAGATCAAAAGACATACTCAAAAAGCAATAGGAGAGAAGATTAACACTAATCATCTACGAAAAAAATTACATGAACTGTGTCTTCGAGTCGAAAACATAAACTAGGTGTCAAATGACACGCAACATGTATCCCTACTTCATATAAATACGCATGTGTAGTCAACTAATATGGATATCATTTTGATTGCGAAAATGTAGAAATTTTACAAACAGTGCCAGGGAATTATTCTAGAAACCCCTAGTTGGTTGGTATTCAAAAATGAATCAGTAATCAACAGATACAGATCAAATGTTTCAGCAGATAAAAATTACGCCGTATTACAGAAAAAAACACCCATCAAACTGATATGTATCCGCATATATATATTTATGTGTGTGTGTGTATGGTGGTCTCTCTCTTTCTGTTTGCTCGCTTAGTCTGTGACCATTTCACTTTGATGAACCTGTCTCCTTTAACAATGTATATTCCCCTTATATTATATATAATATGAGTGTTTGTTGACAGTCCGTTGCTTGGTGACATATATCCATATTATGTGTGGTTGTTGACATGTCTACCATATTTCGCTATGTATATTTGGATCGACACTCCATTATAATTAGCCATTCATGTTAAGACTGTCTAATGATTTGTTCACACACTTTGTCTGGAACATTTCATATATATATTTTGCATTCACAATATTGTGTGACTTACCACTTTGGTGTGATACCACTTTTGCATTCTCCTTGTGTTTGGAAAATAGAAGTATCATCGCAAACCTAGTGGTCTTCTGATTTCCGCCTTCTTGCGTCAGGACTATTAAATTCTCGACCAGTCCATAACAATAATTTAGCGACGAGTACATAACACAAACATCGAAATAAGAAGGGACAGTTCAGTGAAGAGTCTCAATAGACAGTGCTACAATTCAACATTCGTCACGCAATATTCAGGGGGAATTTATTCAAAGTTGTATCTACAATGTTAAAATAAGCCTCCTGAAACAGCATGAATGTTTCCGAATACTTTCTATTGCCGATACCTTAGCCATTCGAATATGGAAAACCGTGATTTATGTACACACAGAAGAAACTTGTTTCACTTCTCTTTCGTTATCATCGAATTTTTTCTGAACGTCTTCATATTATATTACCCTAGTATACACTTACTAATGATCACCCCTTGCCCTAGTGACAATTTTGATCATTCATCACATAGTTTGAAATATGTTGACGATGCAAACACTACTCTAAAACACTTTTACTTATTCTTGTCCTGTGTACACACACAGAAATAATAATCATATATAATTGTGATTCCAAAGCTAACTGAATGAATTCACCGCTGATAGAAGACTCTGCACTGAAGTGCTTGCTCATAAGGAAAACGTCAGTAAAAATGATCAATACTAATCCGAATCGAACAACTAATCACCACGACAAAAAATATTGTCACTAGATAAACAATCATATCACATTCATGGAGAAGGGATTGAAATAAGTTCAGACTTCACTTACACTCACGTTCGCTCTCTAGCGTGATGTTGTCTGGGTGGAGGACAGTGAAAGGCGGTTCACAATTATACCAACACCCAACTGATCTGAGGAACAACGCAATCAAAACATCAAAATCTACTCAAATAAAACTAATGGTACAATTCTTCCCTGAAAAGAAAACGTGCTATGCATTTTTATATCTGTGAATACTGTTGATAAATTTGATTGAAATAGAACCACTAGCTAACCAGTGCAGTGTTCGACTCCCGGTGGACGCACTACTTTACCTTGCCTATTTTGCTAGGCGATAGGTAGTAAGCCAGGGAAGAGATGGAAGGTTGAGCATGACGCCAGCGAACCCCTGAAACTTCAAAACTTTTGAAGCTCGATGTTCCACTTGGAATGCAAGGAATGTAGAAAAAACAATATTCTTTGAAGTAGGTTATAAATCATTTGGCAGAAGTTTTCATATAGCAGGATAAGCTATATATATATAAATAGCGTCGGTGGCACAGTGGTTAGGACTCTTGTCGACCATGCACATGGTCCGGGGTTCAAGCCCACGCTGACGCACACCTGATATCTATGGTCGGCCTGCGAATTTTGGGCTACCGATATCCACGCTGAAAAATTCCACACTTGTACCAAAAATGCGGTGTGGAATCAAGCTGTAAATCAAATATATATATATATATATATATATATGATTGTTGTCCAATGATGACCAAATGGCTGAGCAGAGTAGGACTTGAACATGTGACCCTCTAATTGAAATTCTAGTGTTACAGCTACTATGGGCCATATCTCCACACACAAGTATGGATACGCATAAATTCATTCCTATTTAGGCTCCAAGTGGAATTCTCAGATGCATCAATGGTGTTGTTCTAACGTCCCAACCTTTGCTCCTTTTAAGTTTTACTACCTAACGGGTAGTCAACTAGGCGGTCAGAAATTGAACCAGAACTACATGGGTGGTTGGCAGAAATCCCAAAGTTCGTCTACTGACGCATACAAAACAAAGGGTGGACTGTGATGCTTCCCAGCAATTGGAAAAACTATGATAAATGTAGTCAATTTATAGCAGAATATCACTAGAAGTGGGAAAAATTGCTTTATATGCCACTCAACCTACTTATGAGTAGGCAAATTTATAAAGCTAAAGTTTTCGGAAAACAATCAATCAGCAACTTTTCAATTAGGTTCACTTTAGGAGGCTTTTTTCTGATTATAAGTTTCTTTTCAGACGAGATATTTCCGATACTGTTCACCTAAATCACCAGGATACATAGACCTGGTATCAAATCACATCAGTGTGATCTCCTTCTTGATAAAAGCATAAAACTTGGCCACTGTGGTAGAGTATAACTCCACTATGGATAAGATTTTATTTTGATAAATCACAGTGTTATACAGTAATGTTAACTGATGACGTTTCGAGCAGTAGTTTGTGCTCGAAATAAAATCTTATCTATGATGGAGTGATCTTCTTCCCTATCAATTCTTATGTGTAACAATGCCTAGCGTTTAAGTGACAGGAAATGAAACGATTGAGTACATGTTGATCACATCACTTCGGAAGCCAGATCAACCCCAATAGACTAACCGATTGCTGATGAAATCTCAACACGTATAAAAAGTATTTGTGTCCCATTTGCCAGCTTACTACATCTTTGAAAATATTTGGGCAGCGATAGTTGTTTCTGTTCCTCTTTACGAGGTTTTTATGACAGCAGCCATTGAAAGTTGGAAACTTATTTACTCTTGCGTGTGACGTCTATTATAATAAACAATTGTCCCGATCTCTAGAGACAATTTCTGAGTAACTTTATCAAATGTGTCACTAGCTTTCCTACTACTCAATCACTTCCTTCCATTCAAGTTGGTTTGCAGAGATTTGACTGGTTACAGGATTTCATCATGGACTGCAACCAATTAGAGAACCTTTGGAAGACTACGCGGGAGTACTGGACAGCTGTTTCGCCAGCCCAGTTGGGGACTCTTCATCAGTACGCACCGACCGCCAGTGCTAGAACCCCAGGACCCTCAGGTTACAAGGCGAGCTAGCTCGTAGACCACCAAGACCCGATCCAATGGCCAGCCCATATCCATCTTCTCCCAATCATTTGTGTTCCGCGTGGATCATCATAACGATTCAAGCTTGAGATAAGAAGGTTGTGCTAGTCGTACACTTAGCTCTCCCTCATCTACTGGGTTTACTAACAGTCAAAAGAGGTCTAGGTAAATTACTGACTGCTATACAAGCATAATAAGTAAATATAAATACAATTGTATATTTACAGTTTTTGAAAATGACTTCCTTAATAAAGAAAAAGTTTCTCCACTTTAATTTACCTTATTCTTCAGTATAAGATAGACGTAAGGTAGGATAAAACTGAAGATAATGTGAACTTATATTAAGCAAAAGAGAGAAGGAATAATACACAGAGACCTAGTTTATAAACTTTTTATAGATCGTACGGAAATTCACTTGTCGGTCTAATCTAATCATGATGGGGCGTTTGCCCAAGTGGCACCATCAAAAAGCTGAAGCATTGGTACCAAAATTCTAATAACAAAGCATCGTCTTATAGACTACGACGCACTATCAAGTCAGCAGACAAAAACAAACAGAAAAAGATGCTTGCATTTGCTGAGGAGGTTTGTACACCACGGCTCCACCGATAGGGATAGAACTAATCACTAGGAACTTCAAATTACAGGCAGCCTTGTTGAACTGGGGATCGCCGCCTTTGGATCACAGCTGAGACTTACACCTAAGTTAAGTAATAGCAGTTCTCTTAACGTGCACACAGTTTATAACAATAAAGTTACAGGGTCGGGTTTGGGACTTATCTAAGAATCGTATCCGATATTCCGACTGTTGTATCTGTGTATTCGCAACAGTTGGATACTATATGTATGCACTAGAAAATAAATATTTTCAAAACAAGGAGAAATCGAAAATCATATGTATTTGAAATCGATCTACTGAAAAAAGGGAAGGTATCGATAAAGGTCTTCAACATACAAAAAAGCTGTACAAATGTTAGATTTTTTCCAGTATTTAGGCAGTTGGTTAGTTAGCTAGGTAGTTCAATTGATGGTGAGATGTAGTGTGATGCGACGTGACCATTTAAACATCGAAACGCTTGGTAACTAATAACTTATCCCAAAAGTTTTCAATTTGACGTGTTGGAAAACGTCGATTAAATTGTTGTGCATAACGATCATAGAATATTTTATCTTCCATTTGTAGTTCACGTTTCTGGAAATATGCGTTGAAAAATAAGAATGAAAGAAGAAACATGCAAAAAAAAATTCAATTATGACATATACATATTATTATTGTCACCTTGCGTTCCGAGTGGGATAAAGGGCTTTAACAGGACATCTCTAATTTGTTCTGTTCTCTGCGATCCTCTTTAGCTGGCCCCACCACTGACTAAGGCTTTCATCTACTCCTTGCACAATCTCCTCCATGTCACCACCACACACACGATCAACTCGTCGTCTGCCATTCGGGTCCTGCTAGAGGGCCTGGCGTGCGACGTCACTCCATGCTATCCTCAGAGTGTGTCCAACCCATCCATCCCCAATTTCTGCTACATATTTGTTGACCAACAGGTTCTTGGTTAGTTCGTCCCCACAATCTATTCTGGCTAAATCCTTCTGGCCAGCCATTTGATCTCCACTATGCAGCCAGCAAAGACAGCTGTTGATAAAAGTCTGAAGTAGCCCGTTTGAGGTGCTTCTTTCGTGTTGAGAATACGAATTTCGTCCTCTACGCTCAGTTCAGCAGATTTCCACACAGATTGTAGACTACTGAAGACTTGACTGGCTTGGATATTCTCATCCGTGCCTCTGACTGTATTCGAAACGATGATTCCTAGATAAGTGATAGAAGTGATCTCTTTCAGAGTCATTCCACTGATATTGATTGGTGCTTGTTGTTGTTTGGTTATCTTAATCACATCCGTTTTCTCTGTGTTTATTTGAAGTTCTGTCTTCACTGCCAATCCCTTTTCTTAACTTGTTGGTTTTCGCCTCTGGGTCTTCCAGTTTGTGTGACAAACATAAATCATTTACGCGAAATCCAGGTCATCTTATAGGTCTAACGTATTCCTGTCTTCTCTTTCTCCACGGTCTTCCGTATAATTACGTCCACCACAATTAGGAAACCACTCCAATACTAGAGTCTCCTAAACATTTATGAACACTAATCAGCAATACGATTCACAATGTATAAATCAGTTGAGTCATTGAAATGATGACAAGAGTATGACAAGGTTGCCTGCTGTCACAGATGATTATATTTTTGATTGTAGTAGTGAACTGAATCATGTAGTAGACCATGCGTGAGAAGACAGAAGACAGGAATATTTTGGGCCAATAAAAAGACTCTAGAAGATCTGAACTTCGTCTGGATGATTTATGTTTAGCGCGTCACACAAACTTGAAGATATATTAGGCGAAAACCACGAACAAGTTGGCAGAAAATGCTGGCACCGAAGAGAGAACTTATCAAATAAATACAGGGAAGACATAGGTGATGAAAATACACGATGACCAACAACAGGGATACGCACCAATCACCATCAATGCAAAAAATTCGAAGGAAGTCACCTTTCTCACTTAATTTACCCAAGCAGACTATTTTCAACTACAGGCGGTAACACAGATGAAGTTATCAAAGCCAGAATTGGGCATGAGTCTGAAGGTGACAAGAAGAACGCGTAGTGATGACGAAGAGATAAAAGCTAATGGGCGATCGTGGAGCCAGTCAAGAAAAAAGACTGAAGAGAACAGGACGAAATGGAGATGTGTTCTGGCTAAAGCCACTAGGAACCTAAGGGATTAATAACAATCGCTACACATTTTCGAAATCAATAAACGTACAACAGAAATGCTGCTTAAAAAATAGTAAATTACCCGCTCTTCAGCTAATGTAGCAGCTTCTACCTCTTCGCTGAAATACGGTTTTTCCAAATATTTATGATTTTGTTGTGATATTAAAAGTTCATTTAAAAAGGCTTCTTTACGTGCATTAGTTAAACGCGGAATTTTGCGTTGTTTACCGCTCCACAAACTACCAGGTACACCTTTCCATGGGATAAAACGTCCACAACGTACACTTGTTAATAACATCTATATAAAAACTGGAAATTAATAAATTTAGAAATCAATCAGTAATCTCCGTTGTAAGTAATATTAAAAAAATAAAAACCGTCCCCATAGATGACGTGATACAGCTGAGGGTGGGTAGACTTCAAACTTCTCCTCAAAATGTCATGTTGCCACGCGCCCATAGCCTTTGTGACTTTGCACGGTGAGTATGTTGCCTACAAAAGCGAAAGAACGAATGTGAACACCTGACGCTCACAGCCTACCTGTCTCTCTGTCTGCCTGGATTCAACATAGAACTTGGCACCGAAGTGCAGCAGTTCGAGTTGCCACGTTCCAAATAGCACACAGAGGTAGACAAGAAGATGAGTGAAGAGAATCAATAGAGTTTGACAAGTATAAGAGTGAAACAGAATGGGTAATGGTAGAAAGGAATATGAAAGATTACAGAGACTGAATACATCTGCGCTGGCCATTGACAACGATTTTGAGCCATGTCACCTATTGTCTCCAGCCATTGATTCCTAGAGTCCCGAGGGCCCCAACCCGGGAGTCTGCATCTCCCTACCTGACTCAGTTTAACTGTCAAGGATTTCATGGATTGATGCCATGTTTTTGTTTGGCCACCACTGGCTCTTTTCCAACCTGCACCTATATCAGCTAGCAATGCCCGTCGGGGGAGGCGGTGGTTAGGCATGCGCAGCACGTGACCTAGCCATCTTAGTCTATGTAACTTTATAGCCTCGTCGATTGATTTTCCCTCTTTGCCCAACACTCTACGCCTAACGTCAACATTACTTACCTTATTAAACCACCTAACGTGAGACAGAGATCGCAGACATCTATGATCGAAAGCAGTCAACCTTTTCATGTCTTCAACGCGTATTGGCCATGTTTCAGAGCCATAGAGAAGGACGGAGCGAACTGATGAGCAGTACACACGTCCCTTGGTTGATAACCGGATGTCACGCCTACGCCAGAGATGGTGTAAGTCAGCGAAAGCAGCTCGAGCTTTTCGGATCCGTGCTGAGATTTCATCGCCAATCAGTCCGTTGGTGCTAATACAACTTCCCAAATAGGTGAAGTGGTCAACATGTTCTATCACTTCACTCCCTATCACTAAGTTAGGAGTTGACGTGGTCCAGTCCTGTAGCAGCATCTTACATTTTGCAGGGGCGAATCGCATGCCAAACATACGAAGATTGCTGCTCAAGGTGTTCAGAAGACTCTGCATTTTGTCAGCATCCTCCCCTAACAGGACTATGTCATCTGCATATTCTAAGTCCATAAGACTATTCCCTGGTAACAAGTCGATTCCTAAGTCATTACGTTCAGTTAAGGATACTTCCATCAGCATATCTATGATGAAGTTAAACAGAAATGGGGAAAGTGGACATCCCTGTCGGACACCACTGGTTGTTACCAATTCAGATGACAATTCCCCATAAGCCCTTACACGACTACGTGAGTTTGAATAGAGTGCCTTGATTAGTGCAATGTACTTTCTTGGCACTCCCTTCACAGTCAGACATTGCCATAGTACCTTTCGATCCACGGAGTCGAAGGCCGCCTTCAAGTCAAGAAATATGACAATTGTTGGACGCCGAAAAGTGTGTCTATGTTCTAGAATCTGTCGAAGAGTGAAGATATGATCTATGCACCCTCTACCTGGTCTAAAGCCTGCTTGATTTTCCCTTGTCTGTTCCTCCCGAGTTCTGCTTAGTCTATGCATGATTACTGAGCCTAGGATTTTAGAGACTATGTTCGTTAGGCTGATCCCCCTATGATTATCACACGAGGACTTGTTTCCCTTCTTGAATATCGGTATAATAAGTGACTTACCCCAGTCTGATGGCACTGTCTCTGATTCCCAGACTTTGCCTAGTACCTCAGTTAATCTACAAACTAGTATGTCACCCCCATATTTAAACACCTCCGGAATAATTCCGTCGGGTCCTGCCGCTTTGCCTCGTTTCAAATTACTGATAGCTTTTGTGACCTCACTTACAGACGGCGGACCAGTGTCTATATCCCATTCGGGTGTGTTCTGGATGTCGGGGAGGTTCAGTGTGGCTGTAGGCAAGTTAAATTGTCCTCAAAGTGTTCTTTCCAGCGTTCAAGGCGTCTATCCTGAGAGCTAATTAAGGAGCCATTTTTTCAGAAATAGTCTCACTTATGATTTGCCTTCTCCCACCCGTTTCCCTGATGAGTCTAAAGAGTTGCCTAGTGTTGCCTATCGCCGATGCTTTTTCCATCTCTTTCGCCTTTGTCACCCACCACTGTTCACGGTCCTTGCGGAGACTTTTAGTAAGTTTCCTTTTGTGCAGCTTTCGCTCCTCATTGAATTCGGAGCTCGCCGGAATAAGTCTTCTAGCATCTATCAGTTCGGATGAGGCAGTCGAAATCCAGTGGTTTTTACTCACCTTTGGATTTGCCTTATTCACAGCTTTTACAGCTGTATCTATAGCTGACTGAATATTCTTCCAGGCTTCTCCAGGGTGAGCACAGCTGTCGAACTCAGATATGCGTTTAGCTAGTTCTTCCTCAAATAGGGATTTAGTTTCCTGATCGAGCTGGGGACGTGATGGTTTTACCGCCAGCTGTTTCCTACGTCCGTTCAGTCGTAAGCACACACGAGCCCGGACCAGTGCGTGATCGGTATCTACACACGTGTTCCAGAAGGAGCGACAATCTCCTACCGACCCACGCCAACGATAGCTTATTGCTATGTGGTCTATTTGTGTCCAGCGTTGGTTTGATGATGGGGGTCGCCAGGTTAAACAGTGTCTCTCCTTGTGTTTAAAGTTAGTGCTTACAAGAAACAAATGATTATCTGAACAGAACTGTAGGAGACGGTCACCGTTGTCGGTTCGCTGGCACGGAACTCCATAGGTGCCACCGACATCCTTCTCAGATTGACACAATTTCCCTACTTGAGCATTAAAGTCACCAGCTAGAACGACTATATCTGAGCGTTTAGCCTTTCTCACCAAACTAGACAGCTTTTGGTAGAACTCATCCTTCGTTTCATCCGAACTGCAGTCAGTGGGGGCGTAGGCGGAGATTACGAAAAGGCATCGGCGAGTAGTGCAGTCCTTTCTCCTTCTTACTGATCCGTTCAGACGGACAGCACACATTCGGCTATCTACTGGGATCCAGTCAAGTAATGTCTTTTCTGCCCTAGTACTCAAAGCTATCCCTACGCCAGCTAATCCTCGTGAACTAGCTGTGGCATCTCCTGACACCCTCAAGGTGAATTTTGAAGATTCATCCTGTTGGCCAGGTGGGGTTAGGTGAATAACCACACTTGGGTCTTGTATGCGTGTTTCTGAAACACAACATACATCAATGGCTCGTGATGCCAGGGTCTTAGCTAGTGATGCTTGTTGTCCTATTTGGCAAAGTGTCCTAACATTAAATGCTCCTATATGAAATTGGTGGCGTGGCTTTAGGAGACTATCGGTGGTGGTTTTTTGGCTTCCGTCGTTTTTAGTGGACACAGAGTGAAGAGGGAGTGAGGAGCCATCAAGTAGAGGAGTTGCATCAGTGGGAGGAAGGCAAGGCCCACACCGTGGAAGTTGGTTGCGTGACCGCAGAGCCCAGGGGACAACTGCTTGAGGCCGGTCACACGCGGCCTGTTTTTGTTTGTTCTCTTTTGTTTGGTGTGCCTCAGTAGCATACTTATCACTCCTGCCCTGTGACACGGCAGCAGGAAGCGCCGTCGTTGTTAATCCGGGCCACGGCCGATCCGGCATGAAATTTTGTGAAAATTTGTGCCTACCTGCGAGGCCTGGAAAACTCTGATTATTCTAAATACATGTTCCAGCCAAATCAACCGGTGCAGTCTTTCCTATCTAACACTCAACGCTGAACCTTAATATTAAATGGAACATTATACCACTTGACACGGGAGATGAAACGTCAACATCTGTAGCCAGACCTTTAATGCTTTATGCAAGAGGCTACTCCATGCTTCTTCTAGAAGAAGTTAATTCTTGAAATGAGTACGGAGTGGAAACTGAATTAGTCAGTAGTCTCCTCCTTTCCTTATGAGAAAAGGCCGGGAAATATACATCCCTTCTGATAAGTTAAAAATTGGAAAACTTCACCCATGTCTTAAGTGGGACTCATACACTCTACAAACGGTTGAAAGTCACTACACAAAAATTCTTGGTATGAACAATTTATCACACAAGGAAAGGCTTAACAATTGAAATCTCTTCTTTTCCACATACTGTATAGGCAGGGAGGAGATCTTATTACAGTGTAACTCTTCTGTTTCCCACCTGGTCTTCGGAAAATTTCCACTGAAAATGACAGAAGAGTTCAAGAGCCACGAAAAGAACTATATTGTCTATATATACTGGTTCTATCTCTATCTATACTGGTTCCCCCACCAATTCATCAACTATTAAGAGAGGCTCCCATAAGAAGTGTTGTTCATGTCCTCAAGAAGGGATCAGACAAGCACACATACTTATATTATAAAAGGTTTCAAGCCTTCAATCGCCAATGAATAAACCTGAAAGAATCATACCGAAGAAAAGGTGGCTTAGTTCTGGCATACATCGTATACTGAAGGGTGATTTTAATGCTGACATTTTCAAATTCTTATTTTTCTCCTCTAGGATGCCCGCGCGGATTCATCACAAAAAGGTGCTAAGACCGCGGTTGAGTGGTCAGAAACTGGAAATCTTTACCCACAATCAAATGATACCAGATCTATCAGTGGAAGCTTTCGAATTGCAGTTACGTCCTAGAAAAGGCATACACTGCATGGGCTAACACGCCATAAGGCCATAATATCCTTTGATATTTGACTATGATTCGAATCATATATTACCAGCAACCTAAACTAGTGAACGTAGACAATGCATGAATTCACTAATTAAATCTACTTCTGGTCAGAAATGATAATTTTTACACATATTAAAGATAAAGGTCAATAGCTGACACACTCCAAAACAAATCAGACTATATTATTCTCTCAAAAAAATAAATAAATAAAACATGCATACTTGTTACCCTAAAGGAAAGCCTTCTGAGTGGGGTGGAGAATTCGGCGTAAAAACTTGAAGGAAGTGTAGGAGTTTTCTCCAACCCCTATATCACCCCACCCCCCACAAGTCTTCCATTTGTTTCGTAGAAACTTATATTTACGTTACAATCACATCTAAATGTATGATATCATCTTGTTCGACTACCTACAGAAAAACATTCACCCCAATTTAAAATTGACCAGACAATAGTGGCATTTATTGAAATCTCTTAAAGTCCAAAGTCTATGATATCTTAACATAAATGTCACAAACCAACTGTAGCGACCAGTTTGAAAGTGTGCCAACTAAATCCAATATTCAGATTCACATTTATTGGTTGAGGATAGAAGGCTTGCAGCCTATGTTAATCCTTTTCTAGTAAATTTCTGTGGTTGTCCAAACCC